TCAGCATGTCATGCACATACTTTGTAATTTATTTATTTACTTACTTACTTTTTTTATTTTAACAGCACAGATAACTCCTGCACATGACATGCAGAAAAAAAGAGATGGGCCTCTGTATTTTTTCATAAACTAATAAATCACTGTGCAGTAGCTAGGTTGTTCTGGGTGGTTGCTAGGGTGTTGCTATGCAGTTGCTATGGTGTTCTGGGTGGTTGCTATGCAGTTTCCAGGGTGTTCTTCTGGTTGCTATGCATTTGCAAAGTTGTTGCTATGTGTTTGCTAGGGTGTTCTGGATAGTCCTGTGTGGTTGATAGGGTGTTATGGGTGGTTGCTAGGTGGTTTCTAAGGAGTTCTGAGAGGACAGTTGCTAGGGTGTTTCTAGGCGGTAGCTAGGTTGTTGCAAGGTTGTTCTAGGTGGTTGCTAGAGTGTTGTTTTGCGGTTGCTACGGTGTTCTCTTGGTTATGCAGTTGCTAAGGTGTTGCCATGTGGTTGCTAGGATGTTGCTAGGCAGTTGCTGGGTGTACTGGGAGGTTGCTATGCAGTTGCCCATATAGGGCCTTGAAAATTAAGATTCCAAAATCAAAGTTTAAGAACCAGAATCTAAAATCATACTGAGATCTTTCTAGAGAGGTACAGGCATGCAATTGTTGGAAAAGGAATATTTATGGCACTTTGACAGGTATGTTTTTTGCAATTGTTTTGATTGAAACAAGACACGTTTCTATTTTCAACATAATTTTTTCTTCAGACATTTCTCTTTAAATTAAAAGAAGTATCATCTGTATGCAAAGTGACCCACATTTGGTTTTTGACCACTGAAAGTGTGTAAAATGTAACATTTTACTCTTGTAGCCATATTGCAATCCTTATATCTCTGGAAATTAACCATGTTGGGCCTTAAAAGTTAAGATACCAAAATACATTTTGTTATGACCTAAAATATCAAAGGATATTAAGATTTTTAATACTTCTTGAGACACAGGCATGCAAACTTCAGGGGAAAAAAGTTATTTTTCCCATTTTTTAACATCACCATTGGCATATAATGCAACAAAGATTGCTGAAGTCAACAGATTTTACCAATCACTTGTGTAAAAATAACATGATGTAATGATGTTGCCATCTTTCTAAAGTCATTTTATCCCCCTGTAATTTGGCTCAAAATCTCAGGTGGAAATTGCCATTTTGACCCCCTCTACAAAATAGTGGATTATTCGGTAAATATGCATCCAAGGCATTTAATATTTTGGCTTTCTCTTTCATTTACATATTACTTTCACCAGATAAAATAATAACAAAATCTAAAATTTGAACTGGGGGTCTTTGGTAGAGTTGACATGGAATGTCCCAAATGTTTTTAAACAAATGGAAAAGGCTATTTGTACCTCAAAACTCAGTGTATTGCAGATGCTGTCACATTACACATAACCCCGATCATCTGCAGAAACTGCCACTCAAAACACACACATAATGATGGCCTTGATTGATCTTGATTGGATATTGATTGCATCATCTTCATTGCATCTATTTTATTTTTCGATTTTGTGTTTTATTTCTTGATGTATTCAGCTAATAAGTCATTTTTTTCTAAAATTTCCCATGTCAATTAAAAATAAAAGGACCTAATTGACACTTGACTTAATTGACTTGCCTTTTTTAAGGCAAAGACCTAATAGAGGCTACAAGATATTATAAGACCAGGCAGATAGAGAAAAAATATATAATTAAATTATTATTATTATTATTATTATTATTAATGAAAACAAACTATTAAAAAGGTTTAGTATATAGAGTGTATAAGATTGTAGAGTGTATAGTATGTAAATCCATGAAATAGGATACCACCGGGGTGTTTCCTTCGTGGAGGCAGTGGGGCAGTCGTGGCCTAATGGTTAGAGAGTTGGACTTATAACCCGAAGGTTGCAGGTTCCAGTCTCAGGTCCGTCAGGAATTGTCGGTGGGGGGAGTGAATAACCAGCCACCACCCTCAATACCATGACTGAGGTGAGACCCTTGAGCAAGGCACCGAACCCCCAACTGCTCCCCGGGCGCCGCAGCAATATGGCTGCCCACTGCTCCGGGTGTGTGTTCACTACTGTGTGTGTGCACTTGGATGGGTTAAATGCAGAGCACAAATTCCGAGTATGGGTCACCATACTTGGCCACATGTCACTTCACTCACTCACTCAAAATATTGGATGAGAAAAAAAATTTGTAGTACAAAAATAAAACTATGCAAATATTATAAAATATAGTGTTAAATCCCGCATTTTTCTAAAGAAACACTGTCAGAGCAAAGCAATGTCAGCGGGTAAAGTTACAGCAGGAGTCCACAGAGTCTCTCTCGCCTCCCCTAAGCCCATTGAGTTTTAACAGACCCTAAAGCGTGCTGTAAATTTGGTGTGGGGTAACTGAGAATGAATGGGGGAAAGTGTGCACTCCATCGCAAATTTGATTAGATATGACTGGTTATGATCAGCTGTGATGGGTTCATGCCATAAATCCCGTCTCTTGTGTTCGTGCGCATTCCCCCATTCGCGAATCAGTCTGAATGAACAATATAATGGCATTAATGGGAAGATTAATTTAAAAAATAAACAAGTCACACTTAGATATAACCACTTTATGTCAAAATAAGACTTGAAATAGCCTGAACACATGATCTGTCGGAATATTTAGTGAGTTATCAGCTTGGTGAAATGTAAAGTAAATCTCCATGTCTGTGACCAATATTTACTGAGCTTTGATGACTGATGATACGTAAAATTAAAAAATAGTGTTTTTCCTATATTATCCACTGAATGCAACAGTAAAAATTAGCCCATTATCAAGGCAAGGTTCACTTAATAACTTGCTGAAGCCTATGGTTAAGGGGTCATGAACTGCATGTTTTTATTATTTTATAATTAGTGACTTAGTTAGTTAGTGATTAGTGACGTGACATGTGGCCAAGTATGGTGACCCATACTCGGAATTTGTGCTCTGCATTTAACCCATCCAAAGTGCACACACACAGCAGTGAACACACGCACACCGTGAACACACACCCGGAGCAGTGGGCAGCCATTTATGCTGCGGCGCCCGGGGAGCAGTTTGGGGTTCGGTGCCTTGCTCAAGGGCACCTCAGTCGTGGTATTGAAGGTGGGAGAGAGCGCTGTACATTCACTCCCCCCACCTACAATCCCTGCCGGTACGAGACTCGAACCCGCAACCTTTGGGTTACGAGTCCGACTCTCTAACCATTAGGCCACGACTTCCCCCTTAATGTGTCCTTAAGTGCACTTACAAAGAGGGTGAGGGTGCTCAGCATAAGCGGAGTTAACATGGCACAACAGCAGCAAGCCGTCATCAAGACAGAGAAGATTTTTTTCTTCACTAGCAGACCTAGTGGGAACCCCTGCAGCCCTTGGTTGTGACGGGGCTAATCAGCTGCCTACACACACATGGCATAATGTAGAAGACAGAAAGCAGTGAAAAGCAGTACTTATAACTATCAGTGAGGTTAGCACATTCATAGTATAATTAGGAGACAGAAAGCAGTGAGAAACAGCACTTATAATTATCAGCTTCCCATCCATCCCAGCTCAGTGCACAAGCAGTGACAGAGAATGTATGCAACAACAGACTACCTCAAGAAGCTAGTATTGAAAACTGGCTTACCTTAAGCTAGTTAAGCTAGTTAATGGCCAACTTTTCAAGTAGGCCATAAGTAGTCAGTTACCAAGGAATATAGCTTTGATGTGCGGCAAAAGTTGTTGAGCTCCACAAAATGGGAAGTAGCTATAAGAAAATAGCAAAAGCAAAAGCAAAAAGTCCCAGTCAACTGGAGATGTTGTGAATCAGAATGAGTCAAGAAGCCTCAATAAAAATACCACCATAAGTTGGTTGGGAGGGTATAAAGAAAAAACCCCAAGTATATTTAGTTGCAGGACACTACTGAAACATCAAACGGTCCCAGCTTCCATGGTCAAATGAAAAGAGAGAAAAAAAGAGCTTTTTGGCAGCAAACACAAGATTATTTTGGTGCACACTAAGATAAAAAAAAAGGACCCCATGCCCAAGGTTAAATATATTGTGGGATCTTTAATGTTGAGGGTCTATTTTCTGCCAAAGGCCATCTGGACATCTTGTTCAGATACAAGGAGCTGTGGATTCTATCAAATTTACATTACATTTACATTTAATCATTTAGCAGACGCTTTTATCCAAAGCGACTTACAAATGAGGACAATAGAAGCAATCAAAACTAACAAAAGAGCAACAATATAGTGCTAGAGTTAGAGGGTCAAATAAAGATTGAACAGATGTGTTTCATCAAATACCAAAAGATAAAAATCAAAACCTGACTGCCTCTACTAGAAATCTTATAAGGTCGTGATTGGATCTACCAGCAGGACAATGATCCAAAACATACAACAAATCCACACAAAAATGTTTTACTAACCACAAAATCAAGGTCCTGCCATAGCTATCCCAGTCCCCTGACTTGAATCCCACAGAAAAACTCTCTGTGGGGTCTGTGGGGTTCTCCTGTCATGCCTAATGAGGTTGGAGAATACATGGCAAGGGATCTGACACCATTCCTTAATACAGACTCTGCTCTTCAGTTCACCCCACAGTTTTCCAGTTTATATATATATAGTGTTTGAGAGTTCTGTGTGTGTACATTTTTTGAACAAAAGATCAAAACAATATCACACAGTAACCATTCATAGCCTTCTTTGCTCATATTTACCAAGAATCATTAGTGGAGGCATTCGTAGGATCTTGATGGATCGATAAAAGAGAAATAATCTAATAAAAAACACTATTAAAATAACATAATGAATCCTTAATTTGTTAGGACTCTTTTTTTCCAAATTCATGAATTATCTTGAATAACTATTATCTATTTATCCAAATGATAATTGATTGATTTACTGATATCTCAATTAATTCATTCATTGCTCAGTTGATCTCAGATATGGCCCTGAAATCAGTTTCCTTCATCACCCCATACCTTCATCTCCAAATGTTGAGCTGCATTTCACACAGCTAAAGCATTCTGGATGCCAGTTTTTATCCAGCGCAGTCACCATTTTCTGAAGGAGAACATAATAAAGCCAGATTAGGGCCAGATAATATACAGTATAAAGCTATGGGAGTTGATACTGGGTTACAAACAAAGATGAACAACTTCAAATTACATATTTAGGGAGAATTTTGGCAAAACAACTATTGTATGAGAAAAACATCTGTAATACTTTTCTATTAAGATGTTTAAGTATTATGGCTAGATGTGCCGTTTTGAGCACAATTTGGGGGATACAAATGTAAGATCTCATTAAGATCAGCTGATCATCTGTCTTTCTCATATAATCACATGAAAAACATTGATATATATTGTCAGGACTGGATCATGATCCTGCGAGGCCCCTGGTTATACGTCTTGGGGGACCTAACAGACCCTTTTTTTTAAGTGATATGGGCAATTTGGCTTCAAAAAGTTAGAAAACATTAATATAAGACCAAAAAAACAACAACAACAAAAAATGTTTTCTGGATCCTATCTTGTTCTGTGTGCGGAGGTGCCCTAGTGGTCAGCATGTGCTCTATGCATTACGGCAGAGTTTACCAACCCTGTTCATGTAAGGTATACCAACAGTACACATTTTCAAACTCTTCCTAATTAAACACACCTGATTCAACTCATCAGATCGTTAGTAGATTCTCCAAGACCAGAAATGGATGAGTCAGATAAGTGAGACACCCAAAAATCATAGAATGAGAACGACACTTGAACTGAATTAAGCTGGATGATGGCACTATCGTCTTCTGTACAGCTGGGGTCCATTCTTCGTACCTCGCTTAATACACCTGAGATAATTTGACAGATGCCAGATCTTTTAATCCTGGTAAATGATCTCTGGCTAATTTGGTTCTTCAAACAAGTTAGCGGATTTGATTAAAAAAAATCTGGATTAAGTTGTCGTAAATTACTTTGTGTTGTCATGTTCATTGGAAAGGGCAGATATTTCGATACTCGAAAACATGATCAGCAATGCAGCAATTGGCTGACGGCAAGACAGCAACGTTATGACATCATATAATTAAAATCAAGGAAACAGCCTAGCCAGCAAAATGACATAAAAATTTGTACAGGCTTTGCATTTTTCAGTGTCAAGAAGGGTATTGCAATTAGCAAGTAATTTAATTTTGAAGCAGATTTGTTACATGTGACAGCATTAAAGTTTCTTAATTCATACGATCCATCTTAAGACATAACTAACTGTGTTTAAATTAATTATGCATCATAAAAGCAATTTGAGATTTGAGAAGTGAGTCCGCATCTCCTGCGATGCATTAAAGCCACCCGCATAAAAGCTCACCGTTTAAATTAATGCATGGCTCAGACAAACTATGTGTGTGCAACAAAATTATGAGATAATTATTCCTTCACGGATAAATCTCTCAATGAGTAAAACTGGTTGTGTTTATTTTAATTATTTTCAAAATAATTTTTGGTTTAATAAGGTTGTAAGAAAATAGCAGTGGCTGGGATACACTTTCAGTATCACCTTCACTTAAAATTATGCAATCTAATCCTGTTTACTTGAAATAAGCCTGCTCCTGAGCAGATTTGAGCTAAAGGACCTGTTGCTATGACAGCAACTCCAGGATGAGCTTCGAAGAACCTAACAATCCTGGATCATGTCAAATTGCCAACAATAAAATCCAGCTAATCCATGGTAATCCACATACGAAGAACGGACCCCTGCTTTACAACTTAATAGCATTTTGCAACATCAACACTGAACTGACTCAAGCTAAATAATGACATTGCTGCCTTAGGTAGAACTGCTTGTAGCTGAATTGTAGCTTGTTTCAAATTTATTAACTTCACACTATTACTGATCTGAACTGAAACAAGACTGTTATTCTGACCTGAGCTAAATTATGGCACTATTGTCTTTTAGAGCTGCTTTATAGCAGATTCTGAATTGTCTCCATAGTTGAGTTTCCATAATTGTTCCTGCTTTTTTCCACGATTTTCTCTGTGAAGCTGCTTTGACACAATCTGTATTGTATAAAGTCTTATAGAAACAAAGTTGACTTGACTTGACTGGTGTTGATGTACCTCCAGAAACAAGGTTGGGAAACACTGCATTAAGGACCTGGGGTCCCATAGTGCTCATATTGTGTCATATAAGAAGGGCTCAGCACACACTAAAGTTCATTTTGATCATTTTTTTGTCTTTTTCTGTGGGATCCCACACCACTGCTCATTTTGTAGGTCTCTTTTATCTGGCACATGCACACAGTTCAGTTCATGGAACTCTCTGTTAACAAGCTGATTGATGATTTGACGCAAGTGTGTTAAAGAAGTGAGACATGGACAATCTGCAGTGCTGTGGGTCCCCAGGATTAAGATTTTAAAACCACTGCTCTAGTCATTTGGCGATAATATGATTAGATTGGCTGAAGTTCAAAGTCTAGACTCCTATAATTCATTTTGAAGCTTTGTTTTAAAGGTTTCACATCTGGGATGTATGTACAGTGCATGGTCCCATATAGTTAGACTTGACAACAGCAGCATGAAAGAACATTATCAACAAAGAAAAAAGTAACATTTTACAATAAGGTCTCGTTTGTTAACATTAGTTAATGCATCAACTAACATGAACTAATAATAAGCAATATATTTTAGCAGCATTTATTAAACTTAATGTTAGTTAATAAATTTAATATAAGTTTAATAAAATACAATTTTAATACAATTTTAATGTTCATGTTAGTTCATAGTGCATTAACTAATGTTAACAGATAGGCTACAACATTTGATTTCAAATAATGTATTAGTAAATGTTGAAATTAAGTTTAATGAATGCTTTAGAAGTATTTTTACCTCCCTCAACTTACTTTAAATAAAAGTTATAATAAATAAATTTAAGGAAGAGTTGGAATGGAGGAGGAATTGGGCTGCCTAAAAGTTGTTGCAGAAGTGAGGTAAGCAGAGGTTTATAGATGCTTACTCTAACACTGTGATTTTTCATAGTAAATGAGCATGGTCCTCTAGAACTTTGTTTATTCATGTCATAGACTATCATCTTCATTCAGCTTCAGTACAGCTGTGAGTTTTTGAATAGGACACATAAATGTACAGATACCTACATTGAGTATGGGCTTGTTGCATTGTGCACAGTGAGGTGAGTACAGGGTGAAGTAGTCAGGCTCACAGTATGGTCGACCATCTTTCTCAAAGAAATTACAATTGCCAAGCTCACACTCACACTCAGAGCAAACAAAGTGCTCTGGATGCCAAACCCGTCCCAGAGCTGTTACAACCTAAGAGACAGGGGAACAAGATCTAAATTTCTAAAGTCACTATCACTTTTGAAACCAGAATCCTTTAAATGATAAAAAAAAAAAAATCAACAAAGAGTTCTAAGATGAAGCAACATTACAAACTAGGATTTAAAACAATGTATTTGAAACCTGGTTGTGGTAGTAATTTAGTTTACTTCAATGAAATTAAATGTAAGTGATTAAACTTAACAACCAAAGATGTTAGGTCTGTCTTCATAGGGTTATATATCGCTAAAAATCTGGTTTTCTGTGAAGACAATTAATGATACTTTTACTTACTGACCTTTGTAAACAGTACTTCTATTGTACTTCCAATACAAAAACCACAGAAAACATAAAAATAAGAAATGCATGGCTATTGATGACTAATTAAACTACTGGCTACAAGTTAAATTCAGGATTTATTAAAGAATTTTACCTGTCCTACAACTGGTTTCTGACAGGCGGAACAGTTTCCCTTAGAGGAGGTAGGCACTCCCTGCCTGCTCAGATCTGATTGGAGAAGACCCAACATGCTGTCCAATGAGCCTCCAGAGGATGCAGAGGGTGGAGAAGCTGTTTGTTGTGATGAAGATGCCACAGGACCAACAGGTGCTGCTGGCTGATACAAACAAATAACTCAACAGCTACACAAAAATACTAATATTTTATTCATTAAAAGTGAAATGTTAATAAACTCTCTCCTAACCCAGTTCAATATGCAGAGTCAACTATCAGTAAACCAATAGTAGGTACTACTATTATGACTGAGACGCGCTGTATTGTATAAAGCGCTATAGACTTGACTGACTTGACGCACAACAATGCACTGTTTGTTTGGTCCTATCAACTTCTGAACATTGTTACATTGTTACCAACATTGTCACCAAATCTGTTTTAGTGTTTAGTGTTTTAGTGTTTGGGAAACCAGTTTAAAAACAGTTATTAATTTTGCATTTCAATCTGGTGACACTAGTTCAGCAACTGCATAAAAGTATGTATCAAACATACTGTGCTTTGGACTCTGAAGTCTGATAGAGACGCCATTAGTTTGTCCAGCTCTAAAGTAGCAGATGTAGCTGAGGGTTTCGCTGAGCTAGAAACAGAAAAAAAATTATTACTGTCTGACAATCATTAATACAATTATATAAACTGTACACCCATATTAATTTGATATTTGTGAGTTTGACTTTCCTCCATTATGTGTTGTCATTACTACAAATAAAGCCATTTATTTAAATGAAGATCTGCAGGGATATGTTATCAGTCAGTAATGATACTATTATTTAATTAGTACATGGTATGTAATCTCTTATCTATTATAAGGCATGTGGAATGAGCATATGTAGGAAAATGAGTATACAGATGAATAAACATCGCAATATATATCAGTGCACTAACCCAGTAGAGGATGGACCAGACTTTGAAAACTGATCATCTTTTTTGGTGCTGGGGAATTGTGCCAAAATCTCATCTAACAAAGACAAAGGAAAAATTATGCATCAGAGGAGTTCTTTTTTTAAATGAAACTCTAGGGCACTGCTTACTGCATACTGCTGACTATATACCAGATACTGCCTACTATTGTAACTGATCAGTTTTCATTTTATTCTAATTTTGTGTAAAAGTTATTTACTTTTGACAGTCTGGAAAATCAGTCAAGTACAAGTGGTGCATGGCACACAGTGTTCCATACACTATGCTCTGGTTGTATATGGCACATTTTAGCAAATATAAACCAGTTATGTGGAATTCCCAGATCATTTGGTGACTGTGCACAGTATACATGCTGCATGCATATTTGTTGTTGTTTTTGTAAATAGTAGGTATTCCATTCTGACAGACAAGGACAGATTATGGACTGAGCCAACGACTGCCAGGGGTTTATCATATTCAGGTCATATTCTGTCCTTGCACACACACAGTAAAGTACTTTGTAAGCTACTAAGAAGTCAGCACTCACCTGTGATGTTGAACTGTGTGGCATTAAGCTCCTGTAGTAAGTGATCAAGTTCACTCAGCCCTCCACCCAGAACTGAGGAGGAGGAGAAAGCAGGAGGAGGGTCTGCCGTACGTGGGAATCGTGGTTTACATACTGTACTGAGGAAATAAAAAGTTACAAAACAATCACTATGGACTTACCGCAACACTCAAAATCTCAACATGTATTCCAAGAGTTAGTTCTAAATGAAAATGATCATCTTTGATTTTAAATGACATCCAAAGCTATTGTACAGTTTCAGAAGACTTTCAGAAGGAATACAGATCATGATACTTTTAGGATCCTTTATGGTACTTTTCTGTCCTCTATGGAGCTTGACAGCCCCAGACCCCATTTACTTTGTATGGTAAACAGTAGAACAAACATTTTGCTAAACATTTTTGTTGTTGTTAATGGAAAAAATAAATACTGGTTTTGGGGGGATGAACTATTCTTTTAAATTTCAAACTATTCGATTTCAAGTTTTCCTTTCGGTATTTGGTATTTTATTTTAAAATACATTTTGATGTATCTTTGCCCAACCCTGAGAACAGCACAACCCAGATGTTCGAATTTGTGCAACACATTTTATGGACGATAGTTTTTTGAACCTAGAAGAGTACAAGGCCTAAAACAGCGTTCTGAAGAAGGTAAGCTGGAGTTGGAAAAAGCAAGACTTGAAGTAGAAGCCCTCAAACTTAACCTTATGAAGGAGGGTAGGCTATCGAATTCTGGTGAGGAACAAGGTATGTCTTTTTAACTGACCAGGCTCAGCCCTGCTTAGCTTCAGTGGGCAACCAGTCTTGGGCTACAGGGTGACATGGCTGCTGGCATTTTAACCGGGAAAGCACAAGTAGTTTTCTCTTCAATGTTGGTCGATGACTCTAGAGATTATGATAAAGTTAAATCTGTAATTTTAAAGGCATATGAATGCGTACCAGAAGCATACAGACAGCGTTTTCGTTTGCAGAAAAAAGAAGAGGTACAAACTCATTTAGAATTTGTCAGAGATTTGAGGAGAAACTTTAATCGTTGGTGTACAGCACTAGACATTAAGACATTTGAAGATTTAAGTCATTTGATGGTTCTAGAACAATTTAAAAACTCTGTTCCGAGTCGTGTCGCCATATATATCAATGAGCACAATGTTGAAACTCCTGAGGAAGCGGCGACGTTAGCCGATGACTTTGTATTGACGCACAAATACGTTTTTGTTGATGTGCATGCTGTCATTCCTGCAGAAATCGGTAACCTTGCTCGTGAATATTTTGTCAGTGATGGAGTGTTACTGAGGAAATGGATTCCTCACAAAGGTGACTTGGTTGGGAATCCTGTCTTCCAGGTGGTCGTTCCTGTTAAGTTTCGACATACAGTGATCAAATTTGCACATGATCAATCAGGTCATCAGGGCATGCGTAAGACTTATGATTGCTTGCTGCGATATTTTTTTTTTTGGCTGTGTCTAAAACGAGACCTCTCTATTTATATCAAAAAATGTAAGACCTGCCAGCTAACCAGTGTTGTGTTGAAACCTGCACCTCTGAAACCAATTCCTTTTGAACATCTCATTGTTGATTGTGTCGGGCCACTTCCTCGTTCGAAGTCGGGAAGCAATTATTTGTTTACCGTGATGTGTTTGAACATGCGTTTTCCGGCAGCATATCCATTATGTAGTATTACATCGCGTTGTATTGTGAGAGCGTTAACTCGATTTATATCTGTATTTGGAATTCCAAAAACCATCCAAAGTGACCAAGGTTCAAACCTGACTTATCTTTTTCAGCAGGTTCTGAAACCGCTGCACATTAAGCATAATCAATCTACTGCATACCACGCACAAAGTCAGGGTGTGTTGGAGAGACTTCATCAGTCCTTAAAATCGCTGCTTCGAGCATATTGTGTGCAGTTAGTTCAACAGATGTTAGCCGCTCGCAAAGTAGTACAGGAAAGTACGGGTTTTAGTCCTAATGATTTAGTCTTTGGCATTAAAGTTCGTGGTCTATTGTCTGTTTTTCAAGAGGCTGGTTAAGTTGCGGAGCCTCCGAAAAATTTGGCATCATATGTTTTGGGGTGCAAGAACCGACTCATTCAGGCAAGAGAACTCGCAAAAGTAAACCTTGAAAAACACCAACAAAATATGAAGCGATTGTATGACCATACAGTCGAACATCGAGTTTTTGAACCAGGAGATCAAGTTCTGGTACTCCGGCCAATAGTATCTTCTCCTTTCGAAGCCAAATTTGATGGCCCATTTGTTGTGCAATGCAAGTTGAGTGATGAAAATTATGAAGTTATAACTTCATCACAGAAAAAGTCAGTTAAACGGTACCATGTAAACTTATTAAAACCATACTATGAAAATTAGACTAAATCTGTAACGAATCGGACATCTGTGCATTCAGTACTTTCTTCCGTATCTGTTGGTGGGGGTAAGGTGAGTTTAGTGGGGGAGGAAGAGGAGACCATTTCACCTGATGATTGTGTGTTCCGCGGCCGCTTAAAAAAATTCTGAATCCTTGCAGAACTTAGAACTTATTTTCCGTTATTTGTCTCATGAAAGATGTCAGGAGTTATGTCAGTTGTTACGTAGATTTACTGAATTGTTTGGAGATGCGCCTTCGCGTACTGACTGGGTGCAGCATCATATTGATGTGGGGGACGCAAAGCCTATCAAACAGCGTTTTTACCGTGTTGCACCTGAAAAATGGGAATTAATGGAGAAAGAAATCAAGTATATGCAGGATCACAATATTGCGATACCTTTGTCCTCTGATTGGGCTTCCCCGTGTTTATTAGTGGGAAAGTCAGATGGTACAGTTAGATTACAGTTAGCTCTCGGCTGCACAGAAGCAGACTGAGGCGGGTCGTCACACCCTGCCTCGGTGGGCAGCTGCAGCCTCCACCCGTCCACCGGCCACAGCGCCCCAGCCTGCTCGTTGCCGAGGGCGGCTCCCTGCGTCTGCCCCTGCTCCCGCGCCGCATCCGCAGCAGCCTCCAGCAAGCGGCGCTATGGAGCTGGGCGTAGGCAGGCCGCCCCACCCATCCAGGCCCCCGTCAAACCTGGCGGTGAGCGAAAGAGCAAGAGGCCCCGGGACGGGTGACCCAGAGAGGGAGGAAGCTGCTCTTTGGGGGATAGTGAAGGCACCTCCCCCGGAGGAGGGCTGGGTGGAGAATCTGGAAAATCTCGACAAGAGAGAGGTTTTCTCTATCTCTGGGTCCCAGGAGGGCACGGAGAGTCGCGGACGGCCCAACACCGGACCTCTCTCATCCTCCTCCTTCGCCAGCCAGCAGCAGCGGGTGGTTCGAGAGCGTCAACAAAGGCCCTACTCAGGCACCCTCTGCCAACCTGTGGAACCAGGTAAGCGTTGCACCGCATACTCAGACCCCTCTCCGGTCCACTCGCAAGCCGCCCGAGTTGGGTCCCTGCGTTCCACCTCGCTGCGTCCCTGCGTTCCACCTCGCTGCCCCACGTTACCGTTCAAGATGTTGACGCAGAAACGCATCTTCGGGTGTGTCCGACCCCGAGATTGGGTTGCAGCGATCGACCTGAAAGATGCGTACTTTCATGTGTCGATCCTTCTGCGCCACAGACCACTTCTGCGGTTTGCGTTCTAAGGACGGGCATACCAGTACAAGGCCCTGCCCTTCTGGCTGTCCCTGTCTCCCCGTGTCTTCACGAAAGTCGCGGAGACCACTGAAACAATTTCAGAGGCTCCTGGGGCATATGGCAGCTGCAGCGACACTTACACCACTAGGGCTATTGCATACGAGACCGCTTCAGCACTGGCTTCATGGCCAAGTCCCGAGGTGGGTGTGGCAGCGCGGCACTCACCGGGTCCAAGTTACACCGGCCTGTCACCAAACCTTCACCCCGTGGTCAGATCTTACGTCCCTTTCGGGCAGGAGTGCCCCTAGAACAGGTCTCCAAGCATGCTGTGGTTTACACGGATGCCTCCACCTGCCATGCTGGGGGTCAATGTACAACGGGCACGCAGTTTCGGGGGTTTGGATGGGCCCCCATCTGCACTGGCATATCAATTGCTTAGAGTTGTTAGTAGTGCACCTTGCCTTGGACCGTCTCAAAGGGTGCTTATCTTCGTGCCATTCACATTCCGGGCCTGCTCAACCGTACAGCCGACGAGCTGTCTCGAGCTACGCTCCCGGGAGAGTGGCGACTCCTTCCCCGGACGGTCCAGCTGATTTGGGGACGTTTCAGAGCCGCTCAGGTAGACCTGTTTGCCTCTACAGAAACCTCTCACTGCCCATTGTTCTACTCCCTGACACGGATGCCCTGGCACACAGCAGGCCGCGGGGCCTGCGCAAGTATGTGTTTCCCCCAGTGAACCCTCTCGCACAGATGCTGTGCAAGGTCAGGGAGCACGAGGAGCAGATCCTGCTTGTGGCGCTGTATTGGCCCACTCGGACCTGGTTCCCCGAACTAATGATCCTCGAGACAGCCCTTCTGAGGAAGGTTCTACTGACTCAGAGACGGGGCACCCTGTGGCACCCGCGTCCAGACCTCTGGAAACTTCATGTCTGGTCCCTGGATGGGACGCGGACGCTCTAGGTGACCTACCCCAAGAGGTAGTTGACACCATCACTTTGATGAGAGCACCGTCTACGAGACGCCTTGAAGTGGAACCTGTTCGTCGAGTGGTGTATATATATATATATATTCTTTATTGTCTTCCTGTTGTTTATACTATTTATGCTGTCATCCACAGTTGTATCTAAATGTTGAAGTTTTGGAGGGAAAAAAAAACAGCACAAAAAAAATAGAGACTCTGAGACCCTCACATAAAACTTGTTCTTGTCAGAAACTGAGAAACAAAATAATTGCAACACAGTAAATAATGATAGCGGCATTAACATATAGTTTTGTGTTATTTAACAACATTTTACAATGTATAATTTTATATGCTGAGCCTGGTAATCCCAGGAGAGCACCTAGACACGTAGCCTAATTGTACATTTAAATTAAGACAACTAAACACTACCTACTGTTAGTGCTGTCAAAAGACCCGGTACTTGAGGAAACACATCAAACTAACAAAACACTTTAAAGACAGACACCCGGATCAAATGAAAGATTTCAAGCAGGTAAGTTTCGTTTTAATTT